AATATATATGTATAGATATATAGATATTAACTATATAAAAGTGCGTTTCCTTATAGTTACTGTTTCGCTGTAGTGGTCTGTGATTTTGTACACTCTGATACCAAGCAACAAATTTCCGAGATGCAATTATTTATTAGCGAGTTTTTTCTTGATGTGTGTTGGCGTACGTACTCTCAACTCTCTGTAGTAGACGGTATCGATTTGTTTGTGAAAAGAGTCGGGTACAACTGTGCGTAAAAAATATCAATGTGTCTGAGAACGTGTTGCAAATACATTGGCAAATATGTTTCATCACACTTCGCTGTGTAACAAGAATCTATTGCAAATGTTTCCCATTTGATTTGGCTAGATCACCGGTGGTTCGTCGAGTGATCAACTCCTTGGATATTGCATTATTCTCATGGTGTGATGTGTGGCTCCTATCCGTTGAGATGACTGTACTATAGCCCAGCCACTATGTGTCTTTGGTACCACTCTCCCTGTCCAAGGAGTGCGTATGCTCACGAATGCTCCCGTTTGTCACAATCCCTTTGAAAACATTGATCGCTACTACCGCAGCGTGTGCAGGCTTTGTACTACATTGCATGCGAGGTGTATGGCCTGATTAATAAGCTAACATGCCAACGCTCAACGTGTATGTGCATGTGCTTCAACACGCAGGAGCTCTAAGGAGAGTAAACCAGCACATGGTCAATTCACAGAGTATGGACCACTTGGCAGCGGAGACTGATGCCTATCGGTAAGCTGGCGGAGACTATTCTCGAGTGTATGACTGTACAGACGTATGCAATTTTCAGGCGTACCCGTCAGCTTCTCCTGAGATTCTGTTACACATACATATATACAAGTTGTTTCGACGACGTCAGAGGTTCAAACAGCCCCACTTTCATCTTGCATTCGTTTCTGGATCAGCCCCCGGTTGTAAAGCGTATGGGCACGTGTGTCGTTAAGCTCAGTAGTATCCGTTTGAAGTTTGCTGGTTGTTGCTAGACAGGGTTTTTGGGTTTTCGCCACCGCAAACTGCCATCCCAATGCTACCGCCAACCACTGCGGTTGAGGCAGGTGAGCAGGGTTACGTGCACAACACTCATCTCGTGCCCTACACCCTACGCAGCACAACACTCATCTCGTGCCCTACACCCTACGCAGCACAAACTCATATCACGCCCTTACTTCCTTCCGCATATAGACCAGAGCTGTCTATCACCCGTGACACAGCCGACAGTCCTCTGCTGATGAGCCCGGCTGTTGCTGAGAGTAGTTGCCATGGCAACCTCCGGGCAGCACATGGGGTGGGGCATGGTTCCAGTGACACGTGGGTGACGTGTGTGAACCATTTGCTGTCGCGCATACCATTGCCACCTGTGCCCACCTTTTCGCAGTTTGCAGAAAGTGCCGTAGCTCTCGAATGCGGCAGTGAGGACAAAAACGGCTCAGAAACCACCCATGAAGGCCACGGAAAGGGCTTGCATAGTAGAGAGAAGAGACCGATCGTCGGCCATAAGTCCAAAGAGCACCATGTCTATCGTACGGCAGCAGCGCTGTCTGATGAGGCACAAATCATTGCGCTAACAACGCGATCTGACGCTTGCGACGATGTTCGGTACCAAAGCCCTGGGCCACACGCTACAGACGACACAGAAAAGGAGGGCGAAGAGCACAACAAGACAACGCACAGGGAAGTGGGTGGTCGTACGGTGGGTGAGGCCCAAGACACGGACAGGCCAGCACACGCAGGCAAGGATGGCGAATGCACAGACACTGCCAGTGCACAAATAGCACGCGGCACCACGCACAACGCAACCCACGGCAGCAAACACAGCACCAACATCTACGGCAGCAAACACAGTACCCACAAGGGAGGAGAGGGGAGTGCCGACGCAGCACAGGCCACGGGAGAGAGCGTGTACGTGTTCAAGGGGACACAGATATCAGATTGCGTACAGATTGGTGCTGATACCATTGAGGTCACTCGCAGCCTCAGAGACAGCGAGGCGACCTTATCAGCGGCGCAGCGGCTGGATGCTGCACTGATAGTGGAAGCCAAGCATGGCAAAGGAAGCACAAAAGAAAGTACACAAGGGAGTGTACACGGAAGCATACAGTATTACACCACAGCACACACTCGGTATACGTCCCATGCACGCGACATGCACCTGGTGCCTGACTGTCGTGCTAGCAGGAGTGAGGGAGACACAGCGCACGTCTGCGCAGACAGCGAACTCGATTTCACACGTGCACACATGGGTGAAGCGTCGCAGGACATACAGCGCAGCAGAGCAAGCACTTCGCCAACCAGGGCGTGTGGGCCACAGGCAACTGAGTCTGTGCAGCTCCGCGAGACCCAGCGATTCAGATATTACCGCGAGAAGGAGCGGCTGATGTACCAGAACACCCTGGAGCGCAACAACGACGCAACCCCGAAGTTTGGGCAACCGGCCTTCCCACTAGCGATGAATATATATTGTACACGCACGCAGTCGCTACCACTTGGGCGGACGTGTGCGGGTGCTGATGTGCAGCCACTGAACACACGCTCTCCCCACGCACACAGAGGCAAGGGTGCGGAGAGACAGACTCAGATGCAGAGGCCCAAAAATGTCAATGGACAGGGCAGGGGGAGATCTGTTTTGAGTAGCAGGGCCAATAAGTTTAAGTGTAAGAACGACAAGCAGTGTGTGCCTGTTGACCGTCGGAGGCGCATCAAAACGGACAGACAAAAGACCACCAATAAGTACACCCCAACACACACACATGCCACTGCCGAGCGGTGTACAGAAGCACCCCACAGTGCAACCGACCAGGAGCACACAGTGCACAAGCACACCACACCACACCCGAACACCGTACCACACAGCCACTCGGCAGCACACAAGAGTGTGACGAGACACGGGCAACCTGGTGCTAGTGCAAGCAGACACCCCACGAGAGACACACACAGCACACGGCGTATGCACTCTACAGCAGATGAAGGCGCTGGTACACAAGATACTGCCTGCAGCGCAGCCACTGCAAAGACAGCCACCACACCTCCGTACAAACCCTCACGGCCCACCGTCCGATTTGCGCCGACCCCAGATAAGGCGTATAAGGTGTGTTCGACCAAGAATACATGTATCACAATACACACACACACACTAACACACTAACTCACGTATATATATATATATATATTACGCACGCACACACACACACACACACACACACACACACACACACACACACACACACACACACACACACACTATATATATATATATATATATATATATATATAGATGTGTGTGAGAGTTTGTAAGAGTTCCTATATACATTCACTCAAACACTTGCATGATATCATGCAGCTTTGCGTGTCTACATATTACCATTCTTTGGTTCATGCGACATTGCACGTGCGTTACTCACGGTCTTGCACCTATACGCCATATCACCTCTCCTGACCTCTGCGTGCACCGTCTGCTTCGTCTGCTGCTCAGAAATCGCGCATTCCCGCGTTCTCTACACCCGAGAAAGTGCGCAACTACCGCTCCACGCCATCGAAGCAAAAGGAGAACAAGCCCCCGCCAATCAAAACACCCGGAGTGTCCTCCAAAGACAAGGTACACACGCGGACGGTCACTCGATTGCACCGCAGCTGTGCTGAAGACACGACACACACACACCTGTGTGTCAAAGCACCTTCTGCAGTACCAGCCTTCAAGTCTTGAGACCCTTTTTATAGGCCGATGGATAGCGTCGATTGGCCCAGCGGCTTGACGGCTGTGGCATGCAGTGGTAGCGTTGTGCTACGTTGGCAATTGCTTCGGTTTGTACTGTGGCTGGGTATTGATATGGAGCACAGGAAGACCATGCTTGTGTGACCGTTGCAACGGACATGACTGAAAGCCTCCTTGTTACAGGGGTTTAAATGACTGGAAACCCCCTCTATGTATCTGTATATAGACTTTACGTCTACCTGTAGGCCTGCACGTGTGCATGTACAAGCGTATGTACACATAGTTACCAGTGGCAGAAGAACACCGGAGTGGCTGCCCTGTATTTGCACGTGAATGTATTGTATTGACTGTCCTCTTTCCCTTTCCACTTGGACTCTCAGGCCATTGCACCCGGAAACACGCCCAAAAAGTGTGCCACGTTCGAAGGGACGTGTTTGCAACTGGCGCTATCGCCAGCCGACAAGCCATTGCCTTCAGCACACATAAAGAGACACTCACAGACACAAACGAAGAGACCCTCACAGACTACCGCCAACGGTCGCCGACGCACTCCTCTGGCCGACACTGACAGTAAGTGAGCTCGGCAGGTGTGTGTGGCATGACGAGTGAGTGAGGGTCATAGTGCTTGTAGGTGTGAGTTGTACTCTGCTGTACGCGTGTAGGGGTGTGAGTGATGAGTACGATAGGGGTGTGTGTTGTTAGGGGGTTTAGCCTTACAACACGTGCGTGGTTATGCATGTGGAGACTGTAAGCACATAGAGCTGTTTGTGTATGCGTTTAATAATGCCAGTACAGTATGATGTGGTGGACGGAGATGCCTACGCTATATGCAGGCCCTCTCTACCGATAGTGAGTGGGCTGTGTGAGCTGCATGGGTGGGTTGTGTGAGAAGAGATGTGTCTTTAGAATGTGTAAGCGTGATGCATGAGATACTAAAAGTACCCATGTGGTCCGTGTGTGGGTTGGTTGCCTTGTTCTAGGTCGGATACATACACTCTCAAATACAAACAGACATGTCTCTATACACTCAAGAACAAACAGACATGTCTATATACACTCTCAAGAACAAACAGACATGTCTTTATACACTCTCAAGAACAAACAGACATGTCTCTATACACTCTCAAGAACAAACAGACATGTCTCTATACACTCTCAAGAACAAACAGACATGTCTCTATACACTCTTGAGTATGTCTCTGCACGCATTCACAATAGCTCCCGTCAATTGCTCACCCGAGTGCACGGCTGATGGTTTGGTGTTGTTTTTTTATGGCACAGATCTGCCGAGTGTCACGTGCACGTACAGTCAGACGTCAAAGTACGTTCAAGCGATGGGCAGCTGTCACCCCGGCAGGCACGGGGATGTCATCGGTATGTGTGTATTCTGAGAGTAGGGGTGTGTGTATGTGTGTATTCTGAGAGTAGGTGTGTGTGCATGTGTGTATTCTGAGAGTAGGGGTGTGTGTATGTGTGTATTCTGAGAATAGGGGTGTGTGTATGTGTGTATTCTGAGAGTAGGGGTGTGTGTATGCGTGTATTCTGAGAGTAGGAGTGTGTGTATGTGTGTATTCTGAGAGTAGGGGTGTGTGTATGTGTATGTTCTGAGAAGCATACGATGGTTTACGTGAACAACTGCTAGGCATAGTAGGGGTGTGTATATGTGCCTCTCCTCGGTACAACCTTAGCGTGTATATGTGCATCTCGGGGGTGTTATAGGAGTGTGTATCTCCATACGGATAGATTAATACTTTACGCGGAATGTTTGGTAAAACCTGGTACACACCCATTGCTGTTACCATGTATGTACGCAGTCATCGAGGTGTATATGCCATGCTTCATGCCTAGTATATATGCAATGCTTCATGCCTAGTTCCAGTACACGAACGCGTCAGACAGTGATTCTCAAGGCAAGTGTCCTGTCATCTTATGCCACTCGCAGTATCGAATGTGTGTGATGTGGAGATGATCACCAAAACAGTTCGCAAACGGCCCAAAGCAGGCGACACCAGGCTGTCACTAGGATCACTCAGCGACGACGACCACCCCGCAACCACCCCGACATTCCGTATGTATATCTCAGAGGATAGGTGTATCTGAATGCACTATAAATGTGCATGTATGTATATCTCAAAGGATAGGTGTACCTGAACGCACTGTACATGTGCATGTATGTATATCTGAGAGGATAGGTGTACCTGAATGCACTATACATGTGTATGTATGTATATCTGAGAGGATAGGCGTACCTGAATGCACTATACATGTGCATATGTATGTATATCTGAGAGGCTAGGTGTACCTGAATGCACTATACATGTGCATGTACGTATAGCTCAGAGGATAGGTGCATTTGCTTGTACTATACATGTGTTTTTTTATTGTATGTGTTCTGGCGACACTTGCGCTCATACACCTATGTTCAGCCACATGCTACACGTTACACATATTCGTAGCGATGTACTGGTGGGTGTACCCGGATGATAAAAAACTTTTACTTCTATAAAATATGCATTAGGATTTGAACTGTTTAATAGTTAGATACAATTGTTATTTCCAGATGTTTACGCAACCCTGTATCTTAGCAACGCACTCATGTATCTTAGCAACGCACTCATTCGGACACACCTGACGTTGGTTCTGCACAGGGAGGAAAGGGAAGTGCATATCGCGCGTAAAAGAGGTCAAGGCGTGACGTGGCATTGATCAATTAAGTGTCCTACAGTCCATGGGAACACAATACATAACATAGCGACAGCGAAAAACGTGTACGCAATGACAATCCGCTACAGAATATAAATAAAATAACACCGCTGCAACAGTATTGTGGTCATTCTAGCGTTGGTGGGTGCTACCACATTTTTTCGGGACTGTAATATCGGATATGCTTTCGAGAGCTCATCAGCGTCCACGCCAGTCTTGGTGAACGAATGATACATTGTTGCATGTTTGAGACATACATGTGTGATGTGTCATCAGTCGCTGTTTTATAGTTGCATGTTTGGAACATACATATGTGATGCGTCATCAGTCGTTGTTTTGTGGGTACTCTCAACCCACCGAAAATTGTACACACGACGGGGCACACGCATATACACCATTTACATGTGTAGCGTATGCACATACACCATTTACATGTGTAGCGTATGCACATACATCATTTACATGTGTAGCGTATGCACATACACCATTTACATGTGTAGCGTATGCACATACACCATTTATATGTGTAGCAAATCATCACGATGAGAGGTGAGACATAAATAGCACAATTGTATGGTATATATAAACACCAGACTACGGTTGAAATGTACCCGTAGTTGAAGTTGCTATACTTGCATGCGTGACAAATTTGAAGAGGTTACAGACGCCGTTTGGTCTATCCACGTATATAAACTACACGTCCGACAACATAGTACTTCCACGATACTTAGAACTATATTCTACAGTCAACACTGATATAGCCAAGCATGAAAGTTCAGCAAAGTCTACACATTGGTTTGTCATCGGTTGTACCGTCCATACATTAGTGAGACATTACAGAAAAAGATAGAACTCATCTCCATACTATATTTGGAGACACTATCTGTTAAATGCGAATACATATTAAACTTCCAGGGTGGAGATCCAGATTAGACGTACAAAGAATGCATACATTGATGGAGATGCGTGTTGTTTCTGAGTATGTGCAATTATGCATACCCAATGTTCCAACGTTCTATTTAAAAAAAAATCAAAAAAATCAAGCAAATGGCAAATGGGTATTGCAACCGCGGAAGACTCACACAAGAGTAATAATGTTGCTGCAAAAAATATCAAAAATACAGTCGGGAAGAGTGTCAGATAGATTATTTTATTGGCGTGAGAGAGTAACTGCTGTGCATGACATTTCATTTCTAATAGAGTGACTTGGTGGACTTCATTGCTTCAAAGAGGCCCAGCTAAAAGGTTCGTAGTCAATAGAAAGTGTCATGGTGATCATGATTACTATGACGTTACATATGGGCCAAGACCTAAAAGCTTAGCAAGCACGATACAAATTTAAATTTTGTTTTTAATTAACTACTCTCAAAGGAAGAATTACATTGGTATGTCCCTGCTTGAGTTTGATATAGATTCTTTATTTCCAGAAAATAAGGATTTTGTTAAAAAATTTATCAGGGTCTGACCCGTATATGGAAATTAGATCCGATTGCTTCATGTATTTCGTTTCTGTCCTAGAACTAATCCATGCATAAATGTCAATCGGCATATTCAGATGTCATTCGGATGGTATTATTTAGTAATCAACCATGTATCGTGGAATTCACCATTTTTATATATATAAAAATTCTGAATGTGGAGCTGATTTACCGGTTCAAGCTACATATAATTCAACGAACATCACAGACGTAAGATTGGTATAGGTATATAAGCGTACGACAGAACAAAAAGCCGAACATCCTCAGTCGTTTAGCTGTTTCTACGTCATATATCAATTGCGGTCTTTTATATACGTGTACCGCTCAATTCAGTATTAATTAATAACAGTTAATATGCGACTAAATTTATATCTGTTAGGAATATGCATAATGTTGTTTGCAATCATTCCTAGACATGCTTCTGGGGCTCCCGCGAGGGCGCCGATCCCTCGAAAAACCGAAATTGAAGATGGCATAGCATGTATAGACGATCCAGAGCCGAGCGAAGTGTACAGCATGGATTTTTCAATAGAATTGGACCTAACCTTGAAGTCTCCAGATTATGACTCTGGAATAATCTAAGTCGATTGCATATAGTAGTGCGCTTTCATTCGCTTCTCCTGAGGCAGCTGGAAGGCCGTCGAGTCATTCTGGTTAGTGATGACACGTGTTCGTGTGGCCTAGTAGAAAGCCCATGGTGGTATAAAAGTGGCTAGGTAGAAGCGGAAGCACAACGGTTCGGCTATGTTCAAGACAGTATACACGTGAAAAGCCGGAGAATGTGCCCTGAGATAACATCACCGATTTCTTTGAACAAGCAGCCCCGAGAGACGCAATGTCTGAGTGCGTGTAACCTAAAATCACCTATACGGCCTGGTAGCAGTGTTACCAGATGCCGAGTTGCGCTACAAACATATTACGAATGATAGAGATCCAGATTTGTTTTTGGTATATGTATGTCCATACGACAAATGGCTTTCAACAAAAAATATTAAAGTGAGTTTAATCCAGATTGACTGTTTATATTATAAACTGTTTCAGGCTTACGTTCGTTTGCACACATACACTCTTGATGCAAAGCTAAGTTCATGAGCGCTAATGGATATAAATGAACTGGCGTGTGACTTGTTGAACACTATTCTTTTAACACTGACAAGTTCACATGGAGATCGCTTCAAACATACCATGCACTTGAATCCGAATATCACCTGAAATCACGGCCTTGGGTTTGTACTACGAATGCTGCGCAATTCTGATACATCTCACCGTTGATCCTGAACAGCGGATATAGATGTGTAAATACACCTTGTCTCCGACAACCAACCTGTATCAATATCCAACCTAGAGGAATATGCCAAAGACCGAAGAACTGTATATTAATTGCAGTTTGTTAATGTGTACACTTATGAGTGTACAATATATCTCGAAAACGCATAAATCCCAATAGACATGACATCAATAAAACAGAACAATGATACGAACAATGTACATGCATACACCGTTCATCTGCCTAAATTGGAAAGCACCTGTCCGTTACGGTGTGGAAGTTTTCATCTACAAAATGGAATCAAGTGTGAGACTGCGTTTATGTATCAGTATTTGCAATAACTTAAGTAGGCATTTTTTTACATGATGCAATACCGTATGTAGGCATTTATATACATGAAATAATTTATACATAGCCTTCTGAAAATTGAAGTATAGTTTAGAAGGCTATGTAAAAACTAAAATCATATATTGTTTTTTGTTTAGAAAAAATATATAAATATTAAAAATATCCAAAACAATGTTTTGTCTCTTTTGGGCTAAATAAATATGTATTTTTAAATAAATACGAGTTATTTACGCCTATGACACAGTATTTTTTTAATTTAAAAAAAAAGAAACAACAATTTTGATTTGTATAATTATCAATTTAGTGGGCTATGAGCTGTTGGCGTTCTAATATCAAATATAGCTACATATATATGATTTGTGAATTTTAGCGGCGTATGGAAAGGGTCGTTCGATTCGTTTGTATAGCCACACAATACTGACGGTGGCATTTAACATTGTCCTATCTATCTGTCATCTCTTGTCACACAAATACTGACGTGGGCATTTATTAACATTGTCCTATTTATCTGTCATGTATACA